AGAGGGGGGGCTCTGTAATAAATAAATTTACAAAATAGCTTCTTTTCCATTTTATGTTCCTTTTTCCCCCCTCTCCTTTTCGTATAACACTGACGGTAAAAATAATACTAAAAACAAAATCACAAAGCGAGGGAGAGAGGGAAGGGACAACCCACTCCCCAATTAACTCAAACCCCCCCCCCCTTGAATGGGGAGGGGTGGAAGAGAAAGGGGTGGGCGGGGCCGACCCGAGGGGCGTCACTCTTCACGGGGTGGGCGGGGCATAACTGTGCCCCACCCTGCTCCACTCCATCCCAATTCTGCAACTGATACTGTGCGCACCAAAAAAAAAAAAGAGACCAAGATCCAGATTTTTTGGGGGGAGGAGGGGGCGGGGGAAGGCAGGAGAGATTTGGGGTGCCTATGTGTGTGTGTGGGGGGAGCCTGAGCCCCTAGGCATGTGCAAAGTGCAGAGGTGAGCCAGGAAATTCCCCCCTCCCCCAATCCCTCTCCCAATTTCTTGGGAGGAAGAGGGCAACACAGCAGCTCCAAGGGGTGAAAGGAAGGGTCCCTCCTCTCCGTTTTGGGACCCCCCTGCACACACACTCCCCCCCCCCACTCCGAAGGGCCCAGGGGTGCTGGGAACAGCCTAGGCGGTGCCCCCTCCCCGAATTTGGTATCAGCTCCAGTGTCATCCTTGGTTTTTTTTTTGTCTTTTGTCCCAGACAGCAGCAGCAGGAGAGGGAGAGATGCATGGGGTTTGGGGGGGGGGGGGGGGCAACCGGACGCCCCCTCCCGCTAGCACTCCAGGTTGGCCCCAAAACTCTTCCGGCAATCGACGGCCTTGGTGGTGAGGGGCTGGGCCCTCTGCTGCCTGAGGTGCTCCTTCCCCATGCTACCGGCCAGCTTCGAAAAAGCCGATTTGTACTTCTTGTCAAATTCGGCTGCGGGGAGAGAGAGAGAGAGAGAAAGGGGGTGTTTCATTTAGCGACCGTTCAGAGTTGCCACGGCCGTTTTTCAGGCGCTTGACGAACGTGTTTGCCAAGGGGGGGGGGGGGGGTGGTGCGATGCCCCCCTTTTTGGGGCCCCCCGGGGCGGGGGGGTGGGGGGGGGGGGGGGGGGGGGAAAGAACGGGTTCACTTAACAACCTTAACAACGGGGAGGATTCACCTAGTGACAGTGGCCGGAAAGGTCGTAAAAAAAAAGGTTCCCCCCCTTCTTTTTTGTGTGTTAAAATGCCCTCGGGTTGCTAGTCCTCAAAGTTGGAGATCCTGGTAGCGTCATTTTTCCCCCCTTCCCCCCTGTATGATACACAATGGGCACGGCAAGGGGCTAGTCCTCATGGTGGGAGATCTTAAATGTTTTCTCCCCCACTCCCTTTTATTAAGCACACTGGGCAGGGGGAAAGGTGCTAGTCCTCATGGCGAGAGATCCTAATGGCATTTTCCCCCCTCCCCCCTTTCGATAATACAAACTGTTCGTGGGTAAGATACTAGTCCTCAATAGCGGGAGAGCCTGATGGTATTTTTTCCCCCTTTTATAATATATACTGGGCATGGGCAAGGTTCTAGTCCTCAAAGTGAGAGGTCTTGGTAGCCATTTCCCCCTCTCTTTTATGAAGCACACCAAGATACTAGTCCTCAAGGTGGAAAATTGTCCCGTTCCCCCCCTTTATAAAACATGCTGTGTGCTAGCAAGGGTCTCATGCTTATGATGAGAGATTCCAGTGGCCTTTATGAATCACACTCGGCACAGCCAAGGTGCTAGTCCTCAAGGAGGCAGCCCGACCAAAAAAGTCCCAAAGGGACGGACGGATCCCCTAAATGCTACAGTGAGGCCACCCTTCTCCTCCCAGCCCTCCAAATTATAGGGGTGTGTCTGTCCACCCCCCCTCCCTCTTCCCTTCAACCCCCATTGTCCATCTCCCTCCAACTTCTTACCAATGTCCACACGCTCCCTGCCCAGCGCCGCTATTTTCAGGAACAAAAATTCGCGATAAACACTCCTGAAACAAAGAGGGAGCCATTTGTTCACATTGGCGGAGATGCTCTTGAGAAAACGGCTTTATTTTCCCGCCCTCCCTTCCCCCCGTCTAAAAAAAAAAAAAAGCCAACATTTTTGGGAAATTTAAAGACCAGTGAAAAGGACCCCACAATGGTGGGGGCCCGGCTAGTCCCTTGAGAGCCTCCTCCCAACCCACCTGTAATAACCCAACATTAAATGTCCATCTTAAGATTTTCCCCTTTTGACGTTTTCATTCGACATTGTCAGGATTCCAGCGATCGCCCTCATTAAATCACGAGCCTTGAGCCAAACTTCAAAAAGCTTCGAAGAACTCATTAGGAGCGACATATTGGCATGACCTGGGTGTAGCTGGTTCTGTGACATGTAATTCACTGTTCACCCTTGACCCTGGTTTCCAACCCACCCCTCCGGGTGTATCCGAATTCATATTCCTCAACCAAACACGTCCATAGCCAAGCGTCATCCATCATGATCTCCAACTGGACTTTTGTGTACAGTCGCTTAGTTATAACCTTTGCAAGGTATGCATGGAAGGTACTTTCACTTCCAAACTGCTGCACTCCTCTTTCAAAACTCCTTTCCACCCCCAACTTTCTGTTGGCAACTTTAAAACGTTTAACCCTAACTTAATTTTGTCGTTAATTTTTATGCATTGTTTTATTTATTAAGTTACACTGTACAGTAGTCTTATTTATATACAGTACAGTATGTACTTTACAGTATGTAACTTATTTATTAAGTTACACTGTACTCTTTGAGGGAGATGGATGGATTAAAAATAAAAATAAAAACAGGACCTGCAAACAAATGTTAAAATAAATGAATTTGTTAAAGGAGGCTGAACCTTCTGCCTCTTGATTTGATGCCCGCGTTTTGGTATTGACTTTTTTTTGGAGGGAAAAGACAGGAGACGAAAGCTTACCTCTGCAGCAACCCAGGGCTGGCGTAGCCTGCCACCTTTTCTACGAAAAGGGCAATGGCTTTGTTGACCTCGCCCAGGCCAAGATAATTAATGACCGCTTCCAGGAAAGAGAGCGAGAACGGGTGGTTATGCTTGCGCCAATTCTGCAGCCGTGTGGGAATCTGGCCTGGGAAAGGAAGAAGATTGGCGTAAGAATCCAGAACGCTCCCTCCATTCGCACATGCGGTTATACCTGAGAGGACCGGACGGCACCGATGCCCGTCTTTGTCTATTACGGTTAGCCAAACCCGTCGGGATTTCCACGGATCATTCACACCATTTAGCGACCACCGAGGGACGTTTTCCGTCCTGGGAGGGACCAGGGAAGTGGACCAGAGAAGAGTCCAATAAAGCCGCCATTAACCCAAAGCACCGTGAGTTCAAAGGAAACCCTGACTATTCTCTCACGTACGGTGCAACCTCCAAAGAACGTAGAGAGGGGGAAAGCTGTCAGGATCGGAACTCAGCACGTCCCAGAGCAAGCGTACGTTGACGAAAAGGCCCTCTGGAGTCGTTGCCTGGAAGAAAGAAAAAAAAAGGAAGCAGAACGGATGAGTTTTTCAACCTCGGAGGCTTTTAAGGCAAAATAGACTTCAATTCCCAGAATTCCTCAGCCAGACCGCCGGGGGAATTCTGGGAGTTGGAGTCCACCTGCCTTTAAAAGTTCCCAAGATGGAGAAACGCCGATTGAAGGTCTGAGATCCATTGGATTCTGCTTAAGAATTTCTCCCCAGGGTGCTGGTTCTGTTTTGAGGGGAAGTGTGTGGGAAGGGATCCCTCGAGGTCATCCAGTCCAACCCCTCGCCTCCCGCAAAAAAAAAAAAGCCGTTCTCAAGAGTTGGCTTTTCTTCCAAAATCTCCCAAGAGGGACCTCCATCCCCCGTTCTGTTTTCCTCTGCGACGTTCTCGAGATTTTCCCTCTCCACCTCGCCTCCCTCGCAGGGTCGTTGTGCGGAGGAGCGATTTGTGTTACCTGGGAGGCCGTCTGGACGTGCTTGGAAGCCAGGAGCAGCTGGGGCAGGCCACTGCCAAGGCCCAACCGTTGGAAATACCAGACCAGGTTCCAGTAAATGATGGGATGGTTGTCCACCAACTCAGGCTGAGATAGGAAGACGGCTCCCTCGTTCTCCAGCAGGGTCTCCAACTCCTTACGCAGGACCAGGGGGCTGAGGTAGGCGAAAGCCAGCTGCTCCACGTGGGCGGCAGGACCCTGAGGCAGCTGGGAGAAAAAGGAGGGGTTCTAGTTCCCCATCAGCCCCAGCCAAATCCCCGGGAATATGGGAGTTGTAATCTCGGACTCTGGAAAGAAGGATCCAATTATGTTGCATTCTAACCCTAATTAATTCCATTCCTTTCTCATAATCCTCATTTAATGACGCTACTTGTGGGCCAGAAGCTCCCACTCTTAAGCCACACGGTCACAGATCCATAAAACAATGGCCGTGTTGTTTAGCCACGGCAGTTCAGGAAGCCCCGGTTGTCTTTAAACAAGGACGGCGGAGTCGTCATTTAAGTGAGGACCTCCTGTGACTGCAACCTTCGACTTCCTACACGCTTCCCCATTGACTTGGCCTGTGGGAAGCCGGCAGGGAAGGCTGCGAAGAATCTGTAAGAGGTTGCAACGGTTCGAAGTACAAAGTCCGGTGGTAGCTACCATTCATTCAGTGCCGTCATAAGTTCGAACCGTCGCTGAATGAGTGGCCGCTAAATGAGATTCCATATCTCTTCTATTCTGCATCCTCTCTGCTTTTTTCAACTCCCCCAAGGCTCAAAAATGACACATCCAGGCTACAATCTCACGGCATGCACTGGGGAAGACAAACCTCCCGCCCTCCACGAGGACTAGAAACTTAATGCTCAAAAGGAAGGTCAGGAGAGGCACCTATTTGTAGAAACTGAGCTATTCTACAACAAATTTGCTACCCTTCCTACAGAAATGAGTCCTCGAAACAGAAACGCCATTCGCATTTGCCTATCCCAACGTGGTTGTGTCCGAGCAAGGAAGGACGTAAGCATCCGTACCGGGGATTCGCTGAAGCCATTGCACAGGGACCCGTTTCTGGATTTCCGCCGCGGATCCGGTTCTGCCTCATCCAACAGGAGACACTGGGACCGATCACTGAGTACCGGGCCCTGGCCGCCTGGCATGGGGGCTTCGTTGTCCCGGGGCCAATCCGAGGACACTGAACTCGTGTCCGAAACATCGGCATTGCTAAAAGGGAACGAACAGCTTTGAACACAGTGCAGATGGCTCAAGTGAGTGAGCTAAGTTACAGGGAGGGTGGGGAAAAAAAAACCCATATCCCATGCATGTAAGTCTTCCTTCTCATGACACATTTAACTTGATTAAAGCTGTTTTCTGGGTTCGCATGATACTTCATACTCACACTTGTATGTTAGCCACACACACATATACACAAAACCTAACAACCCATCACAACTCTAAGTGAGATGATGAGGTCAAGGATGGTCCACTGGCGCTCGGGCAGTCGGGAAACAGTCAGGAGTAAGATCAAGATGCCAGAGGTTAAGAAAAGTAAGCATAATCGGCACTCGGACCTGAGGGAAACCATCTGGAAATCTTGGATCTCAATGCTGAGGAAGGGCACGAAGAGACGTCCGCAAAACGGGCAGGTGGTGTTCAGGTTAGAGTCGTCCGAACTCCACCCAGCCATCACCTCTTCGTCGTACACCAGCGAGTTGCAAGCCTGGCATCGCGAGCAGCTGGAAAGCAGCACCTGAAAGGACCGGATAATCGTTCTGTGAGGGGAAACAGTGCGGGTGAAACAAGGACTCCCAGACAGGGAGGATCGAGGATCGTGGGTTTCCGCGGCGGAAATCCAGGATCGAATGGGGAAAGATACCTCAACTGCCGGAGGCTCCGACAACCGATCACTGGATTTCCGGAGGTTGAAACTGCAGACGGATGTATCTGAGAGATCATATTCGCTACCCAGAGAGGCCGAACTCTGTTGTAGGAAAGAGCAGGTTAAGTCGAGAAAAAGGACCTGTGAGAAAAGATCACGACGACACGTTCCGCGTGAGATTCTATATGGGGATACCGACCTCCGAGGCTGTGGATCTTGGACGCTCCGGGGGGAGCAGCAAGTTTCCCTCCCGCGGACTCTGGTGAGAGGGGTGTTCTCGGTGCTCAGATCCGCTGCGCCCATGGGAGACCTCCCCGCTGGAACCGTGTTTCAGAGAAGGTCGCTTGATGGGGGACAGAAACTGCTGAAGTTTGGCGGTCAGACTCCGGCGAGGGGTGCTCCCCAGGCGACGGTTTTCAGCAGCCTGGCCTGACCCCGGAGTAGCCCCCTCTTGTTGTCCGGTCTCCACACTGCTCAGCGTTAACCGGTCGCTCTCATCCATCAAGAAACTGCTGATGTCTGAAAGACTGCTGCCCTCCGAGCTTCTGGGCCCGTCCTGCGCCCCGCGCGAGGGAGGAAGTGTTGATAGCGTATTATTGCTTTCAGCTTTGGGGCTGTCCAATATTTTCCCTGCTGTAAGATTTTAAAATTGAAATCTGATTTTTCCACACCTCTTGGATAAACGAAATCCCCTCCTCTTGAATTCAGACTCACTCCGGATTGTGCCCGCTGGCATGTCCTGCTTGGGAAAATTCAGGCTGTCGCTCTTCGGGAGCGTGGGTTGTAGACGCTCTCTTAAGCTGCTCCCAGACCAGGTCGTCTGCCTCTGGAGGCCGATGCGGGGCTGATATTTGGGAGGTGTGGCCTCTTTGCTGTCTGCCAGTAAAAAAGAAAAAAAAAGGAAGCCCACCCTCCATTTGTGAGGTGCACCGTGTTTATCTGTGCTGCTGTTAGTTATTGTAATTAGATAAGAGCATAGCCCTGAGCTGCATAACGGGTGGAAAAGGAATTTCTCAGGCTGTAAAACAGATGGTGGGAGATTTGTAATTTTAGACCTGCAATCTTCTGGTAAACTAGCCTTAGAGTGAAGCAGAATTATCTATGTAATAAACGGCCTTGGAAAATGGTGTAAAGATACTACCTAGGGCAGGGGTCCCCAACCACCGGTCCGCGGACCGGTACCGGTCCGTGGAACAAGTCCTATCGGGCCGCTGGCTTGCTGGGCACCGCCATCTTGTTTTGATGAAAAAGTGCTTCCGGTGAGGTCACCGGAAGCACTTTTTCATCAAAACAAGATGGCGGCGCCCAGCTGATGTCGGTACCGGGCCGCGCCATAAAAAAGGTTGGGGATACCGGGCCGCGGCGTAAAAAAGGTTGGGGATCACTGACCTAGGGAACAGTCAAAGACTGCTGAGCCCCAGCTGTAGAACAGATGGAGAAAGAATCACAGAACAAACGGCCCTCTAGTTTCTTGGGGTATAAAAGAGAGAGCAGGAGATTTGTACTGTCCCAACTTGCAAAATTCTGTGAATGTAGCCTTACGATAAAGTAGAATTAGCTCATGTGACCAGCACGCTGCCTGGGAGACTCTGGGAGTTGTAGTGCACCCATTTTAAAGCATGCTAGCTGGGGGATTCTGGGAAATATAATCCGTCCATCTTAAAGCACGCTAGTTGGGGAATTCTGGGAAATGTCGTCCGTCCACCTTAAAGCCTGCTGGCTGGGGGGATTCTGGGAGTTGTAGTCCACCCATATTTAAGACATGCTGGCTGGGGAATTCTGGGAATTGTAGTCCCCCCCCATCTTAAAGCCTTTTGGCTAGGGAGGTTATGTGCTGGGTGGGGGATGAATTGAGCCTTGTCCGTCTTCAGAACTGTACCTGCGGAACGGCTGAGACTCTGAGATTTGGCCTCCTGCTGGCGCTGGCGCAGGGGTTGACGGAACTGGGCGGCTCCTAGGACGACGTTCCGAAGTTTGGCCCAGCGAAGACGGCCACCTTGGCTACTGGACGGCCATTTGCACTCCAAAATGGCCTACGGCGAAAGAGGAAGGCGGGACAGGAAACCCGGGTTTAACTCACACCCTGGCGCCCATGCTCCCCGTTGCCGAGAACTCATGGCTGCTTATAAAAACCACGCTAAACTCACGAAGAAGGTGACCACAATGGAGAAACGAGGAGGTGGGGGGGGGGGGGCAGAAGTACCTTGTTGTAGTAGCCGTAGGTAATGGTGTTGGGGACGATCCCGGCCCGTTTCATTTCCAGCATGACTTGGACGGAGAGTATCGGTTCCCCGTATTGACCGCACAGCTGCATCAGGATACGATAGCACACCTTGGAATGAGAAGAGGGAAGGGGGCATGGATGCCAATTTCCCCGTTCAAGTTAAACCCAGAGGGAATCCCTAACTAAGGCCCAGGTGTGACATCACCTGGGGGAACCACACGTGTTTTGGGTATCCCAGTGCTTCCCAATGCTTTCCTTCTTCACTCGATACCACTTAGGAGAAAGCAAAAGTAAAAGCGAAAGTGAAAGTGAAAGTGAAACTTCAAGGACTGTTTATGGAGCCCTGTCTTCAGTCATGCTGTAACTTGGAATGGTAGCCGAACGAACGGTCATCGGTTTTCGGGACGCCACTTTAAACGTCCGTGATGTGTTGGGAAATGGATCTGTGTGTGGTTACACTAAGAAAAACCACTTCGACTCAATTTGGGGTAATCTGTCTAGATTTGAGAAGCGCTAGGCTAGCAGGATGAATAGGATAACCCCATAGGCTGGCAGGGAAGATGCCCAATTAGAAAACATGGGTCGCTGGGAACTGTAGTTCTACAAAATCTGGAGGGCTACATATTCTCACCCCATCTCAACGCTACGGACTGGAGTCTGTCCATCCTGACATCAGAAGATCAAGGATTGATCATCATCATGGTCATTTGGGCAACTGAATGGAGCTAACAGAGTGTTTTAATGGCCGGATGCCCTTTCTGTTGCCAATAGGGAGTTTTGTTCAGCAGATAATATTCTCATTGTGGCCGGAGAATTATCTGCCTCTACCGAGGATCGAACTCGCGGTCTCCTGATTGTGAGGCGAGACACCTCTAGGCCCATCGCACCACTCTAAGATCAACGATGGATCCCCGTGAGATAATTTACTATAAACAAACCATACTCAAACACTCTCTATGCTGGACCAATCCTGGTTTACCAGGTGGGGGGATTTCAGAAACCCCTCCCCAAGTTACTAGTCCTCAAGATCGAGAAAAGCTTGGAAACCTTTAGAAATTGCAAGAATCGAAGCCTGTCCTGCCCTCACAACATTGGTTGCATTGGGAACCGTTCCGCAGAAGAACGGGGCTCCTACCTCGTCCGGCAAGACGACCTCTTTGGTCTCCATCTGTTTCAGCACCTCGTATGCGACATGCAGAGCTTGTACCTTCGAGGTCGCCATTCGGACGTAAGCGGGCAGCATGATAAACCAGAGAGCGTAGCAGTGACCAAGCAGGCACTTAGCCCACATTTCCGGCATGGAAGAATATTTCTGCGCGACTTTCTGGGCCACCTTAATTTCCTACAAATGAAGGTGGTTTAATGTCAGTTTGTTTGTTTGTTTTTAAAAAACAGAGATAAAAATCACTGTTTAAAAAAAAGGGGGGATAAAAATCGACGGGGATAAAAATTGTTTGGGACCGGAGTTGCTCAGGAGGGCTCGAGCTGACTCGGACGTGGACGGGAGACCACCAAGAAATCCCAAGGCGGGAAATCAGATCGCAAAATCTAAGAGAGACCCGGCAATATTTACCTGCTGGGTGCGGCGAGGGGCAGGGCTGCTGGGGGCGCTGGTTCGGGCTTGGCACAGGGAGGGCATGAGTTGGTCCTGAGGCCGTTGAAACAGCTTGGTTTGGAGCATCGGAAAGCCGTCGTATCTAAAAAAAATAAAATAATATGGAGGGCCCCCCCAAACTGAATGTGTCTAGGTAGAAGGGGCAGTGCAGGGAGATTCATTTCAAGCCTAACGCCCTTGAAGAGTAATGAGAGATTTTGCCTTTATGGACTTAAAAGGATTTATAGGGGCACCCAACTCAAATGTCAGGGAAGAAGGGGGAAAAAAACAAACAAACCGGAAAGACAACCCCCTTGATTTTTATTCAAAACATTCACAGAGATTCATTGGGTCTTTGGGGTTCGCTCAGTGGCAGCAACGGCCACTCAACGGACTGTTGGGACTACCTGGATCTTCTCCGTTGAAGGCCATCAGTCCAGTGGTGCGTTTCAAATATTCTTACCACCGGTTAGGTGGGCGTGGCTTGGTGGGCGCGCTTTGCACACGTGTGTGCACCAAACACGCACTTCGCACAAGCGCAGAGGCTTTCTGCCTCACCTCCTACAAGCCTGCACTCTCCCTGTCGCTTCAGCAGCTGCCGTGCAGCAGCCTGTGTCAGGGCTCCGATAATCCACCCTCATTCAAATCATAAGTCTCTAGCCGCATCCCTCAGAGTTTAAAAAAAACAACTGATTTATTAGGAGTGACCATGTCGGCGTTTCCTGGGTGCAGCCGACTCTAAGAGACATCATTCATTTCCCCCTTGACCCTGGTCTTCCCCACATCCCCTGGATGTATATTCTCCAATGGGACACATCCATAGCCAATCATGCTCTCCAGTAATAATCTTGCGTGCCAACAGCTTCGGCTGCCTAGCAATTATCTGAAGCATTTAAGGAATGCACTGCTTTCTCCCCACTCTCTTTCTGCTGGCAACTCAAAAGACCAAAGGAGTATTTTTTTAGTTGACAATCTGCTTGCAGCTGCACTTCAAGCAGGACATAAAGGTTAGTATGGGAGGCCGGGCGGGTTGGTGGGCCCAACAGCAGAGGGTCAGATAGAACCGGTTTGGTCTCCGCTGCTCATCAGCGCTACCGGCTCGGCCGAACTGGGCTGAACCGGTAGAATACCACCACTGCATCAGTCCCTCTTGTAACACGGACACTCACTTGTAACATGGGGGCAGCTCCAAGCCGTTGGGCCCGGTGGGTTCTTCGGGGGGCATGATAAACACAGTGTGTTCGCTGCCCTGGGTGTCGTCCAGTTCAATCAAAGGAGCTTCCTCCGCTTTCTCTAAATCCACCTGCACCTGAAATCAACAAAAAAAGAAGAAATTGAAATCGAGGCAAACCGTCCCGTGAAGGAAACATCTCAAGAACTTCACCTGCTCAAGCCCCGTAAAGACTCAATTAAGTTAGTCGTCATTCAAAATAAAAAACCCAACCGAATTGTAAAATTCAGACCCCCTTCCGGCTACCTTGTCGACGCAGGAGTCGAAAAACTCCAAGCAAGCATGCCGGTCGCTGACGAAGGAGCATTCTTCGATGAACTGCGTGAAGAGCTGCGTGCGCAAAAGCTGCCCGTAGAATTTGTGGTAGGCTCGATCGCGGGACTTCAGGAAGCCTGTTAGGGATGGAATGAGCGAAAGAAGGTTTATTTTCACCACGGTTCTCGTAATTATTCTCAACCTCGAGTTAGTCGAGGAAAGGGAGCAGGAAAGAGACGAGGAAAACATGTGCAAAAATTCCTCTCAACGTCATGATTCTGGCAGTTACCCACAATTAAAATCATGAATCTTGAGCCAAACTTCCAAAACTTCAGAAGGATTTATCGGGAGTTAACATGCCGGCACTGCCTGAGTGCAGCTGACTCTGAGACCCATCATTCACTGTCACTCTTGACCCTGGTTTTCCCCCTGGGTGTATCGTAATTCCTATTCTCCAATGGGACACATCCATAGCCCAGAGTCATCCATCATATTCTCTAATTAGATATTTGCGTGCAGAAACTTCAGTCACCTAGTTACTATCTTTGAAAAAACATTGATGGAATGCAGTTTTGATTTTGCAAGCTGCTACACAGCTGCCCCCCCTCCCTTTCTAAAAAGACCAGAGAAATATTTTAGGAGTTGACAACAACGTGGAGCGGATTGCTAACTAACAGTTCTTCCTCTCCTTATCCCTTCCTCGTTTGGCGTCTTTGTTCCCCGAGTCACCGTTTTACCAAAAGTCTCTTTATTGGGACTTTCTTTCCCCCCCGAGGAAGATGCTTGCTCTAAAAAATCACCCCGAAATGTGTCAAGCTTTACCCTGCAGGAAAAACAGACTGCTGGAATCCCGGGTTTTCTCCGAAGGAGCCTGAGTGATGGGCCGGAGATAACCACGATAGCCTTTGAGCAAGCAAGCCATGAATCGCAGGAATGCCCCTCGGATGTCCAGTTCCAGCTGTTTCCGGCGTCCGTAGATGACATCGTAATCGGTCAGCAGGAATTCCAAGGAGGCCTCTTCTACCGGACGGTTGTACACTGCGAAAGGAAGGACCGAGCCGTGGGTTGCAGAAGATCGTGCCAAAAACTTGCCAAATTGACACCCCCTCGGATCCAGAGGTGGCTCGCTTTTTAATCCTGGCTTAATCATTTTGCAGCTTTCATCAAAGAGAAGGGAGTTGATCTAGAATTGGATTTGCTCAGGATTGGAAAAGGGACAAGATACCGATGGTCATGCCCCTGTGGGAATCTGGTTCGGAGGGGAAGGCCGAGCAGCTGGCGGGGAGCGGGAATGTGGCTCCGTCGGCTGGTGGAAGGAACTGGGGAAGGGCGCCTGTCTGAAATGATATAGGATCTCCTGCAGGAGCAGGGGCGGGGGGTTGGACTAGAAGACCTCCAAGGTCCCTTCTAGCGCTATTCTGATTGCTTGATTGAGATGCCCGCCTTACATGCCAAGATCTTGCCCCCGTGCCCGTTTGACTTACTTTCGTCCAGTTGTTGGTACTGGGAGTTTAACGAGGCCAGGAGCACTTTACACGGCTTCCGTGGCAGAGCGCGCGACGACAACAGCTTCCGTTCTTCGCACCTGCGCGCACAACAAAGCTGCCCCTACGATTAGTGCCTCCTGCCGGGGTCCCCGGGAACGCTAGTATCATCCCCCACCCCTTCCCCCTGGTCGCTTATCCGGGGACTCCTCCTTGCCCGCTGGTTAGGGATTCAAAGGGAGGCACATCAAGCAACGCGGAGCAAATTTGGGAAAAAATAAAATAAAATTGCATGCCCCGGGACGGAAGGAAGGGTGAGAAAGTAGCTCAAGGCAGCCCCGTCTTGATTTTCCTTCGTATGTAAAATAGAACAGAAAAAACAAACAAAACTCCTACGCTTTCAAAAATCTGCTGTTCTAGCCTGGCCGGTTGCTTCAGACTTATGACCGTTTGCAGCGTCCCGGGGGTCAAAGGGATCCCCTTTAGCGACTTTCTCAGCCGGCTTTCCCCCAAAGCAAAAAAGTCAACGGGGGCAGGGTGGGCGGAAAGCCAGGTTGGCGTAGCGATTCGCTTAACCCCTGGGGTCGAGGCGGTCGTTAAAACCGGAACGGGCCTCGCTGAACCGCCGAGTCCGCAGGAGGAGGACACTCACTGGAATATGGTGTTGGTGTCGAGGTCCACACACATGACGTCATGGGGCAGGTCGTAGATGTCGAAGTAACTGGAGTGGACTCCCACGATAAAGGGCACGGGGGCACACAGCACATCGGCCAGGGTGAGTGGACAGAGGGGGATGTACGGGCACTGCCAGCGCAAAGGGAAAATCATCTGGGGGGGAAAAAACACACAACGGGTTTTTGTGTGTGTGTGTGTGTGTGTGTTGATGCTGAAGGTCTATCACGAATACCCACCCACATTTTGAGTTGACCGGATGTTCTTTTTTAAAAAGGCAGCACGAAAACCTAAGAGGGGTGGACGTCAACTCCCAGAATCCCTCAGCCAGGATGCTTTCAGAGGGGTGGACTTCAACTCCCAGCATCCCTCAGTTTGCATGCTTTA